TACGTCAGCGATTGAGAAGATTAAACGAAATGTTAACATCTCGCGACATATGTCTTCTTTCGATCTTGATACGATGGATAAAGGGGACCCAGTGTTTCAAATTTCATGTAATAATAAAAAAGACTAATCCCAGCCACTGGTAACAAAAAACAATGCGTCAGTGAAACCATATGCGAAGTTAATGACCAATGTATCCACAATATACAACGTCGGCTTGGGCGGAGCACTTTCATCAACAATTCAGTTGGCCATCGACATCATCACTCCCATCTCCCGATGTTGGTAGCGCTCCATGGGATGTGGACATTTCATCGCCTACGGAGGAAGAAGTCTTCCGAGAGCTTAGACTTCTGAAACGCCACAAATCGCCCGGCCCAGATGACCTCCCCCTGGTACTTTTCAAAGACGGTTGTGCAAGCTTTGTTCGTGAACTAACTTCCTTATTCCAAAACGTCTGGAATACTGAATCCATTCTATCCGAATGGAGTTTGAGGAACATCGTACCTATTTTCAAGAAGGGCCCCCACTACGATTACTTCAATCACCGAGGGACTGGTCTCATCTTTGTTGCATCCAAGTTGTTAACATCGTCGATCTTTCGCAGGCTCAGTTCGACAAGAAAGCGTCATATTCGCGAAGAACAAGCTGGATTCCACCCTAGCTGGAGCTGCGTTGATAACATATTTACGCTACGCCAGATCCTCGAGCAAAGTCAAACGTTCAGTAGACCGACCACCATTGTGTTTTTGGACATACGTGCTGCGTTTGATTCAGTTGACAAAGCAGCTCTTTGGACTTGTCTGTTAGGAAGCGGTTTGCCTGACAAGTGTGTAAACCTTCTATAAGCCGTTTACTCAAACACACCAAGCCGCGTCAAGGTATATGATCGCATCTGCCCTTCATTTTCATTTCGCCTGTTCGCCGAGCTTGGCAATTTGTTTGCAAACGTTTCATCACCAACCGAGGTTCAGTTCACCCGAGCTACGAGAACCGATTTTCAACATTTTGCCCTTCATTTACCATCACAAGCGGAGTTCGAAGAGGGTGCCCAGCTTCGCCGTTCCTCTTTAATTTCGCAATAGACAAAATCCTAAGCAGCGCTCCAGAAAACTGGAGCTCTTCCCAGGTGATCGACTCCGTGACCTGGAATATGCTGACGACATCATTTTACTCTGCGACTCCTCACAAGACGCTCAAAACGTCCTGTGTAAGTCTGTTAGACAGTTTGGTATGACATTATCTCCATCGAAACGTAAGGTTTTACTACAAGACTGGCAAGAGGCTACACCTGTCCTCACGCTTGTGAACGACCAGTTGGAAATCGTTGATCACTTTACTTATCTCGGGAGTTCCTTCAGCTCAAGAGGACTGACGGAGGAAATATCAGCGCGTATCCGCAAGGCTCGAGTGGCTTCCGCTAACCTACGTCCCTTGTGGTGCCGACGTGATCTCAGTCTCTCCTTGAAAGGCCGCGTTTACAATGCCACAGTACGCTCTGTCCTACTCTACGGCTGTGAGAGTTGGCCCCTCCACGCAGAAGCCCTATGGAGATTAAGTATCTTTGACCACCGTTGCTTTCGTTGCATCGCCAGAATACATTGGCATCAGCGAATCACCAACGACGAGGTTCGCCGAAGAATCTTCACCGCAGACGATCTCAGTCGTCCTCTGAGTGCCGTCATCCCGCTCCAAAGACTTTGATGGTTAGTACATGTGTTGCGGATGCCGGCTCAATGATTGCCTCATCGTGACATTAGCGCAAGCAGACACTAACTGGGAGCGGTGACACGGTGGACAGTGAATAACTGGGGCTCGAACAATGAAGGCGCTAACCTCAAAACAGGCAGTGGTAGGACGCTTTAGACTCCCATGTTGGAGTCTCAAGGACAGAGAACATCTATGGCTTGATACAATTGTAGACATGGCTGGTAACCGGCGTCAATGGCGCACCTGTTGTGAGACTCTTATTTGTTGATTTACGCTTAAACCGTTTTCACATCTCTTTCTTCAAATGTTGTGACACATCTGCCGCTTCTATGTAATTGACTAAGTGGTTCGCTACTTTAGGGCCACGTTACCGGTTTCGATCACCGAACAGCAGGTCTTCGTCGCTATAGTGTTTCACCCCGTCTGCTGTTCACCACACAAAAATGTGTGGAGCAAAAAGCTGTCTTTTACCTGGGATTGTTGAGATACGCATCGTGGGAAGAGGTTCAGTGGCCGTTTTGGTGAGATACAGCAGATGTCATAGATTTTACTCGCCATTGTGCCTAATGTTTTATAGAATTTCCCAAAACAGCTCTTTAGCCTGTATCAATTAGGGTTGAAAATCTGTTGGCAAGGTTTAGCGGGAGGTATCAAACTAATGGTAATGTAAAATGGTGAGAAAACTCGCCTGTTGAAACTGCTGTTGTTGATGTATCAGTTGGGACCGATAAACTTCATTTATGTATCTAACAAAATTTTGCTCTTGCATTTCCAACACAAGCTCTTTTTGCTAAAAACGGAGAAATCAGTTTGGTAAAGTGTTTACTTTCTGCGGATCTTTGGGATGTTGTTCTCTTGCATATTGTTCATATAATATGCTTGTCTGGTCATCCAGAGCTCGCCTGATTGCTTCACTGAAAGCCAAATATATTGCCAAGCATGAGAGAAGAATTAAAAACATACCGAAGTTTCAGACGTTCTTCGGCCTCTTCCGGAGTTTCTTCAACCTCCGTATTCTCAACGAGAGGTAGTTTCGTGTCTCCTTCAAAAGAGGGAAGATATTCCGTTGGCTCAAGTTTTGCCTCCAGAACATCGGATACTGGTTCGGTTGGCTCCATACTGAAGAAAAACATGCCCAAAAGTGCCCGGTAAGCTAAATGATAGTGATTACTATAGGCTTAATTGTTGGTGTTATGCCTGATTGATTCAGGATTTCGAAAAAAAACGTACATGTAACAGCGAAAACAGTAAAATAGACAAAATCCCAGGTAGTGAAGATATACCGTGTGCGGATGAAAGAAAGTAACACTCAAGTCAATGAACTGAGAGAACATTGTCTTGTAGAACTTCTGGGGAAGATGAAACTACTGTACGAACATCATCTAATGGACAAGTTTTCACGACCATTAAACCGGTGGCTCGGAGGTCGTGTGTGCTAATTCCGCTATTGTCTGCCTACTTTCCTTATTTATGTATTTCTTCAAACAGTTTCAGCTTTAAATGCGATGGAAATATTTGTGATAACCAACAAAGAGCACTACACAGCTGTTTCGTCCTGTTCGGGACTCGTCAGCAGTGCGTACTTTTTGCGTCCCTGTCAGAACTCAAACCGCGATTCTTCGGGCTGGGACTTCAAACCCTTACCCTTGAGCTACACGGTCGACGGTTATCACCTTGTACGAATCTCTCAATCGATTTAGGGTATCAAGCTTGGATTAGCCCATTCGATTTTTCAGAGGCCCAGGCACTCTTGATGCTCTTGCAAGTGGGTTTCACGAGTGTTTCAACATGGCCTGATGCCTCTGAAAAATTGAATGGGCTAATTCAAGCTTGATAGTCTAAGTTTCAGTGACTAGACTACTGCGCCACCACCACTATCCGAGTTGCGCGTTAAAATCACCTGCGAGAACAACTATATCGGAGCTTCGGCTCAACCGAATAAGTTCGGTGAGTTTATCATAAAACTCATCTTTTTTGCGTCAGAACTGCAGTTGATCGGAGAACCGCGGTTTGCTGTTGAGTGCATGCAAATCTAATTTGATTCCACTACTGGTCTGCTCCATCATGGTGCGGTTCTCTTAGTCCCTGTCCCGACTTCTCCTTATAACGTGCGCAGCCGATGGTAGGCTAACTAAGGAAGCAATTTCTGCCGATGACCGATGAGTCGAAAAGTGAAGCTTAACATAATTAGTGCATGCTCCGAATCAACACAAGTGGTACAATATGATCCGCAATTCTGCAGGGAAGCATGCCAACGGTAGCTTACAGTTATGTGGTCAATTTGGGTCCACTGTCTCGCTGAACTAGAACACTATGAAGCCGTTCGATAAGAGCTGAGTCGAAAGTTGGTGCTGGATAAGAACAACCGATGATTCAAGCAGAACTGGAATAGTCGATCACCGTTGTCTGTTCGTTGGGTGGGAAGAGCGAAGTGCCCTCGGCTACCGATTCACTTTATAAACGAAGCACTTGTCTCACATCTCAGCCAAAATTCCAGTACGATACTACGAACTCAAAAAAGATGCTATCTTACATTTATATCAACAGTGAACATCTTGCATCGGTTCCAGACAGAGGAATGAGATTCGGGAAAAGATGTCTATAAGGTCTTACCTCAACGAATGAGCGGAACATTCATCTCGTGTTCTTATGTGGGAATCTCTTTTTCTTAAAGTTTGTTAGCCTAGATGGAACTCGATACAAAACGCACTAAATTCGAAAAATATTATGAGTTATATACACTCGACTTTTTGCGTAATTTTCACTCCGTTGCTTAATTTGCACACATTGCGCTTGTCACACCAGTTGTTTACCTTCTTAATCCTCGTGGAGCGCGAACGAACGTATACCTTTCTACGGCAAATATGGTCCCAATAATTCAATAACTTTGGGTATGTCGTCCGCACTCTCGATCAGACCGGTTACCAACAAATCTGTCGGCATGCCTATCCAAGCATGCAATTAGGATTACCTTTGGAGTATCAAGCTTGGATTAGCCCATTCGATTGTTCAGAGGCACCAAGCACACTTGATGGTCGTGGGTGTGGGTTTCACTACTTGGGAGATCGTTAATTCCCCCACGAGATAATGCATTCAAATGCGGTGGAAATGTTTGCGACAACCAACAAAGAGCACCCGACAGCTGTTTCGTCCTGTTTGGAACTCGCCAGCAGTGCGTACTTTTTGTGTCCCTGTCAGGACTCGAACCGCGATCAGTCGGGTCGGGACTTCGAACCCTCACCCCTGAGCTACACGGCCGACGGTAATCACCTTATAGCTCAGGGGTAAGGGTTTAAAATCCCGAACTGACTGATTGCGGTTTGAGTCCTGACAAGGACACAAAAAGTACGTACCGCTGACGAGTCCCGAACAAGACGAAACAGGATTAACTGGCTGAGAATGTGTAAGCTGGCTCAGATGTGGCACAATAAACAGTTACCAATGAGCGTTTTTATCTTCACCATTTCCATTGGTATTCCAATCCGGTAACTATTTCCGGTAAGAAATTTAATGATTGTCATACGATTCGTCTGGGGCAATACCTTCATTTACAAAATTTGAAGGTATGTGAACTTCATGCACGCTACAGACATCTCACATAAACCCCGCAATACAATACCGCTTCCATCGTGGAAAGGCGGCGGACTGGGTCATGCGAACAGTAAACCAAACGCTAAGGAGAACGTTCACTAGGGCAGCACTACGCATCAGTTTCTCCACATCACCGGTAACTCGTTCCCATCTCAAAGATAGATTGTCCCCTCAGGCTATATCCATGTGCATCTATTTGTTCACTTGCTCCTGTGGAGCGAGCTACATCGACCGG